TCTCTCTCTGTGTGTGTGTGTCTGTGTGTGTTGTCTCTCTCTGTGTGTGTCTGTGTGTGTGTCTCTGTGTGTGTGTGTCTCTGTGTGTGTCTGTGTGTGTTGTCTCTGTGTGTGTGTGTGTCTGTGTGTGTGTCTCTGTGTGTGTGTCTGTGTGTCTGTGTGTGTGTGTGTCTGTGTGTATGTGTCTGTGTGTGTTGTCTCTCCGGTAGTGTAGCGGTTAGTGCTACGCTGCGCTGCGAACCCGGCGACCCGGGTTCGATTCCCGCTCACGGCCAACACCAGTGACGATTATCTGAACCGGTCCCGGGCCTCCCCTAGGTCGACTCAGCCTCAAATGAGTACCTGGTGTGGTGTGTAGTAAACATCGCCACTAGGGAGACAAAGGCGGTCGGGCGTGGTGCTGGCCACCCACCCCCTCGTGTACCGTTCCGGCCTTCACAGGTGCTCGCTGACAGCACTTGCCCCTACAGTCTGTTAAGGCTACACGGGGGATCTTTGTTGTCTCTCTCTCTCTGCTTGTGCGTCTGTGTGTGTTTCCGTGTCTGTCTCTCTCAAATTTAGTTCTACCTGATGACGGTTGCTTGTGTTGCAATCGAAACGTCGTTACTCTATTATTACATTTATTTTCCTTCGACGTGAATTTAACGAAAGAACCAAAGAGTAATACCACTCTGTAACACGATGCTTCTGTTCCTGGGTAGTAAGCGTTATTTGCTAATTGCTTATGCCTCCAAAGTATAGAAAGCGGCTATTATTATTATTCTCCGACAAACTGTGCTTTTGTGACCAGGACATTATGTGAAGCAATGACGCAAATGCACGACACGTGTTCTCGTTGACAATCGGTTTACATTTCAAAATATCACTGTCCTGGTCACAAAAGCAAAGTTTGTGGGGGTGATAATAGCCATCTTCGCGTACTGTTTGAGGCATGCGCAATTGGAAAATCACACTTACTACCCAGGAACAATAACAAAAACACACACGTGTTTTTTTTTCTGTTACACCGTGAAATAATGCCGCTCCACCGAGGATGCGGAGTGAACATTCTCGGCTAGCGAAACCGGAGTTGTGTATGCACACCCATACATACACACATACACACACATACACACGTACAGAAAACAAATATCCCCCTCCCCTCCCCCGTGTAGCCTCAATGGACTGTTGAGAAAAGTTGCTGTGATCGAGCAGCGTCTATGAAGGCCGGAACGGGCAGACGAAGGGGGGGCTTGGGAGGGTGGCCAGCACCACGCCCGAGTGGCGATGTTTAAACACCGCGCCAAGCGCAGCCCACCCAGGACCGGTTCACCGCTACCCAACTAACCCCCCCACCTCCCCGTTCACCCAGAGATTCCGCTATGTCACAAAATCTCTCGCTGTCACGGAACATTTCAACACAATCGTCAAGGACAACATACCGTGCCATGCACAACAGCCCCCTGAGGCTGCGGCGTTGTAGGGTTAGTCCGCAGTGACGAATTGAAGAACCCATTCACAAATACGGAATGGAGCGGGGGAGGGAGGTTTTGTCATCGTCACGGCAGCGACTCACCGCTCCGCCACTCCGGACGTCAATTATCTCCGGCTCATCGGTTGCTATCAACATCAGACGTACACTGATACCCGTAGGCACACGTCGAGTCACATAGAGACCCATAGACGCACATAGAGACCCATAGACTCGCACTGAGATCTATCGAGTCACATAGAGACCCATAGACTCATGTAGAGACCCATAGACTCACATAGAAACCCATAGACTCGCATAGAGACCCATAGACGCACACGGAGATCTATCGAGTCGCATACAGAACCATAGACTCACGTAGAGACCCATAGACTCACATAGAGACCCATAGACTCACACGGAGATCTATCGAGTCACACACAGAACCATAGACTCACATAGAGACCCATAGACTCACATGGAGATCTATCGAGTCACACACAGAACCATAGACTCACATAGAGAACCATAGACTCACACGGAGATCTATCGAGTCACATACAGAACCATAGACTCACATAGAGAACCATAGACTCACATAGAGACCCATAGACTCACATAGAGACCCATAGACTCACACGGAGATCTATCGAGTCACACACAGAACCATAGACTCACATAGAGACCCATAGACTCACATAGAGAACCATAGACTCACACGGAGATCTATCGAGTCACATACAGAACCATAGACTCACATAGAGAACCATAGACTCACATAGAGACCCATAGACTCACACGGAGATCTATCGTGTCACACACAGAACCATAGACTCACATAGAGACCCATAGACTCACACGGAGATCTATCGTGTCACACACAGAACCATAGACTCACATAGAGACCCATAGACCCACACGGAGATCTATCGAGTCACACACAGAACCATAGACTCCCTTAGAGACCCATAGACTCACACGGAGATCTATCGAGTCACACACAGAACCATAGACTCACATAGAGACCCATAGACTCACATAGAGATCTATCGAGTCACACACAGAACCATAGACTCACAAAGAGACCCATAGACTCACACGGAGATCTATCGAGTCACACACAGAACCATAGACTCACATAGAGAACCATAGACTCACATAGAGACCCATAGACTCACATAGAGAACCATAGACTCACACGGAGATCTATCGAGTCACATACAGAACCATAGACTCACATAGAGACCCATAGACTCACACCGGAGATCTATCGAGTCACACACAGAACCATAGACTCACATAGAGACCCATAGACTCACATGGAGATCTATCGAGTCACACACAGAACCATAGACTCACATAGAGACCCATAGACTCACACGGAGATCTATCGAGTCACACACAGAACCATAGACTCACATAGAGAACCATAGACTCACATAGAGACCCATAGACTCACATAGAGACCCATAGACTCACATGGAGATCTATCCAGTCACACACAGAACCATAGACTCACATAGAGACCCATAGACTCACACGGAGATCTATCGAGTCACACACAGAACCATAGACTCACATAGAGACCCATAGACTCACATAGAGATCTATCGAGTTACACACAGAACCATAGACTCACATAGAGAACCATAGACTCACATAGAGACCCATAGACTCACACGGAGATCTATCGAGTTACATACAGAACCATAGACTCACATAGAGACCCATAGACTCACATAGAGACCCATAGACTCACACGGAGATCTATCGAGTTACACACAGAACCATAGACTCACATAGAGACCCATAGACTCACATGGAGATCTAACGAGTCACATAGAACCATAGACTCACATAGAGACCCATAGACTCACACGGAGATCTAACGAGTCACATAGAACCATAGACTCACATAGAGACCCATAGACTCACATAGAGATCTATCGAGTCACACACAGAACCATAGACTCACATAGAGACCCATAGACTCACATAGAGATCTATCGAGTTACACACAGAACCATAGACTCACATAGAGAACCATAGACTCACATAGAGACCCATAGACTCACACGGAGATCTATCGAGTCAAATGAGAGTCTATGGGTCTCCATGTGAGTCTATGGGTCTCCATGTGAGCCTATGGGTCTCTACATCAGTTTGGCGAGATGTTAACTCCCTCGCCTGCTATGCAGGAGGTCGTGGGTATATTTGGAGTTTGCGTGTCTCTCTCTCCCTCTACCCTTGGCGGTCGCGCCGAGTTTTCTCCGGATCTTACGGTCTTTTTTTCCCTCCCCTTCCACATTTAAAATCAACATCACGCGTTTAGAGTATTTTGACTTCTGCTATAAATTGTCACGCGATGGTGATAAGACACTCGCCGTCGGCATATACTTTGTGATGACCAGGTCGCTCCTGAAAAAGAGCTATAACAGCTCAGTGGAGGCTTTACAGCTGGTAAGATTAATAAAAATAGTTTAGTTCATGAAAAAAGAGCTACTTAGCTCAGTGGACCATAACCGGTAAAATAAAAAATATAAAAGTAAATAAAAAATATTACGACGTTTCGATCACAACACACGATCGCTTGTGTTATGATTTTACTTACTTTTATTTTTTTTAAATATGTTTCCATCTACGTGACTTTACTGAAAGAACCAAGAATGTGAATTCCTGCAGTTACGAAAGTCTGAATAAAAAAAAGAGTTGAATATTTTGAACATCATGAATCACGCGGTGAAGTGATGACGTCTCCGATAGCCAATGAGATCATTCCCCATCGTTGCATCACGGTGGTGGGGGAGAGGGTGGGGGGGTGAGAGGGTGAGGGGTGATGAGGGGGGTGAGGGGTGATGAGAGGGTGAGGGGGTGAGAGGGTGGGGGGTGAGAGGGTGAGAGGGTGAGGGGGATGAGAGGGTGGGGGGGGGTGAGGGGGTGAGAGGGTGAGGGGGGGGGAGAGGGTGGGGGGGATGAGAGGGTGGGGGGGTGAGGGGGTGAGAGGGTGAGGGGGTGAGAGGGTGAGGGGGTGAGAGGGTGAGGGGGTGAGAGGGTGAGGGGTGATGAGAGGGTGAGGGGGGATGAGAGGGTGAGGGGGGTGAGAGGGTGGGGGGTGAGAGGGTGAGGGGGGTGAGAGGGTGGGGGGTGATGAGAGGGGTGAGAGGGGTGAGGGGGGTGAGAGGGTGAGGGGGGTGAGAGGGTGAGGGGGTGAGAGGGGTGAGAGGGTGAGGGGTGAGAGAGGGTGAGGGGGTGAGGGGGGGTGAGAGGGTGGGGGGAGGGATGAGAGGGTGGGGGGGGGTGAGAGGATAGCGGGGAAGGATTTTATTTATTTTATATATTTTTATTTTATATTTTTATTATTCTTTTATTTTCTATCTCCGTGACTTTACCGAAATAACCAAAGAATAAGGATGAGTGTTGGGTGTGAGGGGGGGTGGTGGGGGGGATGGAGGGGGTGGGGGGATGGAGGGGGTGGGTGTGGGGGGTGGGTGAAGAGGGTGGGGGGGAGTGACGTCACGCGACAGTGACTTGTTGAAGCGGGGCCGGCTGAGACGACCTTTATAGAGGAGGAGGAGGCGGCGGCGGTGGTGGTGGAGGTGGAAGAGAGGCGCCGGGAACTTCGCGCCTCCGGGACAGATGCACGCGGCCAGGATGATGATGACCACGGTGCACTTGACGGCCCTCGTCAAGGCAGGCTTCATCGCCTTCGGGGGAGTCCTTTTCACTGCGCTGTGGTTCATGCATCTCATCTCGATAGGATACCTGTAAGTAGCGCGTGTTTTGCCGACTCAATGTCGCGATGGGGTGTTTTTTTTTTTGTTTGTTTGTTAACTCCCTGCAGGGAGAGGAAGTGGAGACGACTTCCTAGAGCTCACGGAGGAACGGGGAGTGGGAGGGGGGCGTGCGGGGGGGGGAGCGGTAGCAGAAACCCGGCGACGATTATCTCTCTGTGTGTGTGTCTGTCTGTGTGTGTCTGTGTGTGTGTCTGTGTGTGTCTGTGTGTGTGTGTCTGTGTGTGTCTGTGTGTGTGTGTCTGTGTGTGTGTGTCTGTGTGTGTGTCTGTGTGTGTGTGTCTCTGTGTGTGTCTCTGTGTGTGTCTGTGTGTGTGTGTCTGTGTGTGTATCTCTGTGTGCATCTCTGTGTGTGTGTCTCTGTGTGTGTCTCTGTGTGTGTCTGTCTGTGTGTGTCTCTGTGTGTGTGTCTGTGTGTGTGTGTGTGTCTGTGTGTGTCTCTGTGCGGCCTTCATAGGTGCTCGCTAACAGCACTTGCCCCTACAGTCTGTTAAGGCTATACGGGGGATCTATGATCTTTGTCTCTGTGTGTGATCCGGGTTCGATTCCCGCTCACGGCCAACACCAGTGACGATTATCTGAACCGGTCCTGGGCCTCCCCTAGATCGACTCAGTCTCAAATGAGTACCTGGTGCGGTGTGTAAACATCGTCACTAGGGAGACAAAGGCGGTCGGGCGTGGTGTTGGCCACCCACCCCTTCGTGTACCGTTCCGGCCTTCATAGGTGGTGCTCGCTAACAGCACTTGCCCCTACAGTCTGTTAAGGCTATACGGGGGATCTTTGTGTTTGTGTGTGGCAACTGGGGGAGCGGTGGCGCAGCGGTTAGCGCTACGCCGCACTCCTAACCAGGCCACGTCCCGAGTTAGGTTCCTGCGACGTTCATCTGAACTTAGGTCGACTCAGCCTCAAATGAGTTAAGTGCCTGGTGCGGTGTTGTTGTTTAGACGTCGCCTACGAGGGGTGGGGAGACAAAGGCGGCCCGGGGGTGGTGTGGTTGGTGGGCCACGACGCCGGCCCTCTAGCATCAGCTTGTCCCTGACAGTCTGTTGTTACAGGCTACACGGGGGATCTCTGTCTTTGTGTGTGTCTGTGTCTCTGTATGTGTCTGTGTGTCTCTGTGTGTGTGTCTCTCTGTGTGCGTCTCTGTGTGTGTATGTATCTCTCTCTGTGTCTCTCTCTGTGTGTCTCTGTGTCTGTCTCTCTGTGTCTCTCTCTGTGTCTCTGTGTCTCTCTCTGTCTCTCTGTGTGTGTCTCTCTGTGTCTCTCTCTCTGTGTCTCTCTGTGTGTCTCTGTGTGTCTCTCTCTGTCTCTCTGTGTGTGTCTCTGTGTGTCTCTCTGTGTCTCTCTCTGTCTCTCTCTGTGTCTCTCTGTGTGTGTCTCTCTGTGTCTCTCTCTCTGTCTCTCTCTGTGTGTCTCTGTGTGTCTCTGTGTGTCTCTCTCTGTCTCTCTGTGTGTGTCTCTGTGTGTCTCTGTGTGTCTCTCTCTGTCTCTGTGTGTGTGTCTCTGTGTGTCTCTCTGTGTGTCTCTCTGTCTCTCTCTGTGTCTCTCTCTGTGTGTCTCTGTGTGTCTCTCTCTGTCTCTCTGTGTGTGTCTCTGTGAGCGATAGTGTAGCGGTTAGCGCGCTGCGCTATGAACCTACCGACCCGGGTTCGATTCCCGCTCACGGCCAACATCAGTGGCGATTATCTGAACCGGTCCTGGACCTCCCCTAGGTCGACTCAGCCTCAAATGAGTACCTGGTGCGGTGTGTAAACATTTCCACTAGGGAGACAAAGGCGGTCTGGCGTGGTGCTGGCCACCCACCCCTTCGTGTACCGTTCCGGCCTTCATAGGTGCTCGCTAACAGCACTTGCCCCCTACAGTCTGTTAAGGCTATATGGGGGATCTTTATCTTTGTCTCTGTGTGTCTCTCTGTGTGTCTCTCTGTGTGTCTCTCTGTGTGTCTCTCTGTGTGTCTCTCTGGGTCTCTGTGTGTGTCTCTGTGTGTGTCTGCGTCTGTGTCTCTCTGTGTCTCTCTGTGTGTCTCTGTGTGTGTTTGTGTGTCTCTCTGTGTGTCTCTCTGTGTGTCTCTATGTGTGTCTCTATGTGTGTCTCTCTGTGTGTCTCTTTGTGTGTCTCTGTGTGTGTCTCTGTGTGTCTCTCTGTGTCTCTGTGTGTCTCTCTGTGTCTCTGTGTGTCTCTCTGTCTCTGTGTGTCTCGATGTGTGTCTCGATGTGTGTGTCTGTGTCTCTGTGTGCCTCTCTGTGTCTCTTTGTGTGTCTCTCTGTCTCTCTGTGTCTCTCTGTCTCTCTGTGTGTCTCTGTGTGTGTCTCTGTCTCTCTGTGTGTATCTCTGTGTCTGTCTCTGTGTGTCTTTCTGTATCTCTGTGTGTCTCTGACTGTGTCTCTCTGTGTGTCTCTGTATCTCTGTGTGTCTCTATCTCTGTGTCTCTCTGTATCTCTGTGTGTCTCTCTGTGTGTATCTCTGTGTGTGTCTGTGTGTCTCTGTGTCTCTATGTGTGTCTCTGTGTGTCTCTCTGTGTGTCTGCGTGTGTCTGTGTATATGTCTCTGTGTGTTTGTCTCTGTGTGTCTCTCTGTGTCTCTGTGTGTCTCTGTGTGTCTCTGACTGTGTCTCTCTGTATCTCTGTGTGTCTCTCTGTGTGTCTCTGTGTCTCTGCGTGTCTCTCTGTGTGTCTCTGTGTGTCTCTCTGTGTGTCTCTGTGTCTCTGTGTCTCTGCGTGTCTCTCTGTGTGTCTCTGACTGTGTCTCTCTGTGTGTCTCTGACTGTGTCTCTCTGTGTGTCTCTGACTGTGTCTCTCTGTGTGTCTCTGTGTGTCTCTCTCTGTGTCTCTGTGTGTGTCTCTGTGTCTCTGTGTGTCTCTGTGTGTCTCTGACTGTGTCTCTCTGTGTGTCTCTGACTGTGTCTCTCTGTGTGTCTCTGTGTGTGTCTCTCTGTGTCTCTGTGTCTGTCTCTGTGTCTCTGTGTGTCTCTGTGTGCCTCTCTGTGTGTCTCTCTGTGTGTCTCTCTGTCTCTCTGTGTCTCTGTGTCTCTCTGTGTGTCTCGATGTGTGTCTCTGTGTGTGTCTGTGTCTCTGTGTGCCTCTCTGTGTCTCTTTGTGTGTCTCTCTGTCTCTCTGTGTCTCTCTGTGTGTGTCTCTGTCTCTCTGTGTGTATCTCTGTGTCTGTCTCTGTGTGTCTCTCTGTATCTCTGTGTGTCTCTGACTGTGTCTCTGACTGTGTCTCTCTGTGTCTCTCTGTGTGTCTCTGTATCTCTGTGTCTCTCTGTATCTCTGTGTGTCTCTCTGTGTGTCTCTGTGTGTCTCTGTGTCTCTATGTGTGTCTCTGTGTGTCTCTCTGTGTGTCTGCGTGTGTCTGTGTATATGTCTCTGTGTGTCTCTGTGTGTCTCTGACTGTGTCTCTCTGTATCTCTGTGTGTCTCTGTGTGTCTCTCTGTCTCTGCGTGTCTCTCTGTGTGTCTCTCTGTGTGTCTCTGCGTGTCTCTCTGTGTGTCTCTGACTGTGTCTCTCTGTGTGTCTCTGACTGTGTCTCTGACTGTGTCTCTGACTGTGTCTCTCTGTGTGTCTCTGTGTGTCTCTCTCTGTGTCTCTGTGTGTCTCTGTGTGTCTCTGACTGTGTCTCTCTGTGTGTCTCTGACTGTGTCTCTCTGTGTGTCTCTGTGTGTGTCTCTCTGTGTCTCTGTGTCTGTCTCTGTGTCTCTGTGTGTCTCTGACTGTGTCTCTCTGTGTGTCTCTGACTGTGTCTTTCTGTGTGTCTCAGTGTGTGTCTCTGTATCTCTGCGTGTCTCTGTGTGTCTCTCTGAGTGTCTCTGTATCTCTGCGTGTCTCTGTGTGTCTCTCTGTGTCTCTGTGTGTCTCTGTGTGTGTCTCTCTGTGTGTCTCTCTGTGTCTCTGTGTGTGTCTTTGTGTCTGTCTCTGTGTCTCTGCGTGTCTCTCTGTGTGTCTCTGACTGTGTCTCTCTGTGTGTCACTGTGTCTCTGCGTGTCTCTCTGTGTGTCTCTGACTGTTTCTCTCTGTGTGTCACTGTGTCTCTGCGTGTCTCTCTGTGTGTCTCTCACTGTGTCTCTCTGTGTGTCTCTGACTGTGTCTCTCTGTGTGTCTCTGTGTGTCTCTCTGTGTGTCTCTGTGTGTGTATCTCTGTGTCTCTGTGTGTCTCTGTGTGTCTCTATTTGTGTCTCTGTATCTCTGCGTGTCTCTGTGTGTCTCTCTGTGTCTCTGTGTGTGTCTGTGTGTGTGTCTCTGTGTGTGTCTCTGTGTCTCTGCGTGTCTCTCTGTGTGTATCTGACTGCGTCTCTATGTGTGTCTCTGTGTGTGTCTCTCTGTGTGTCTTTGTGTGTCTCTCTGTGTGTCTCTCTGTGTGTCTCTGACTGCGTCTCTATGTGTGTCTCTGTGTGTGTCTCTCTGTGTGTCTTTGTGTGTCTCTCTGTGTGTCTCTCTGTATCTCTGTATCTCTGTGTGTCTCTGACTGTGTCTCTGTGTTTCTGTGTGTCTCTGTGTGTCTCTCTGTATCTCTGTGTGTCTCTGACTGTGTCACTCTGTATGTCTCTGTGTATCTCTGTGTCTCTGTGTGTCTCTGTGTCTCTCTGTGTGTGTCTGTGTGTCTCTCTGTATCTCTGTGTGTCTCTGACTCTGTCTCTCTGTGTGTCTCTGTGTGTCTCCCTGTGTGTCTCTGTGTGTGTCTCTCTGTCTCTCTGTGTGTCTCTGTGTCTCTGTGTGTCTCTCTGTGTGTCTCTGTGTCTCTGTGTGTCTCTCTGTGTGTCTCTGTGTCTCTGTGTGTCTCTCTGTGTGTCTCTGTGTCTCTGCGTGTCTCTCTGCGTGTCTGCGTGGCGGCGAGCGGTGGCGTGGTGGTTTCCGCACTGCGTGTGGGCCACCCCTACATCGGCTCGGCCTTAAAACAGCCAAGAGTGCTGCACAATGGGTCTACCTCGCACACAACCCTTGTGTGCGAGGTGTTTGCTGAGAGACACAATAAGTAT